AAATTCAGCACCGCCTTTCTTCGCGCTCTTGCATGTCGACTTTCTTCTCGCTCTTCGATGCCGATTAACAATGAAGGTAAAGATTCGATTGCTTGATACGCGACACCATTTCTTCTCCCCCGTCTATATTCGCCGTGTTTCTACTCGGCGATTTCGAATTTGACTTCACCACTCGTCGTGTTTCTGAACTTCGTTCAGCACCTATGTTCCTACTCGGCTCCTTACTTGAGGTACGCTGTCGATTGTATCTCGTTAGTTTCCACACTCCAATTTCACCAGCATTGTATTTTTTTTTCAATCTCGTAAGATTACTGCTCTTCTCCTACTGTTTTGATTGCATTTATCTATCGACGGTTTTCAACTGCAACTTGGACTATTGCATGTTATACTGTGCTTGTGGTTTCTCCTCTTTATTTATATGCACTCATCATTTTGCTCTTAATTTCAATAAAAGTGATGCTTATGGTTCTGTTTGTGTATCGTGTACCTCATTTGATATATGTTTCAGATGGCTGACATTGCTTCTACATTATCTCCTAGTCCAAGTCTAGCAAAACGCTCATCTTCTCGTTTATCATTGCCACACAAATCAAAATGTGTATGCATTCTTTTGTTTACTTATTTTCTGTTGTTAAAAGACCAGTACCTACATTATTCCACTATTATGTATATCAAATTCATCTTCTCCTTTTTAATATGTTTGTTTCAGACCTTCAAGAGACTTGTCAGCAAGGATGTTGTTTACATGGACATTAAGAATAGGAGAGTTAATACCTTTTCTAGACTTTATGACTCCATAAACCTTGTTAGGTCTAAACTTCTTCCTCACGAACTTGCTATTTTTGAGAAGTCTGTTTTTGGAAAATTCTTAGCTTCTAAGGAAATGTCATGTTGTGGTCAACTTATACATTACCTTTTAGGGAACATGGTTGAGGTAAGCAACCTTCAGAATGCTTTGTCGTTTGAAATCGAGGGTAGGATCATCTCATTTTCTGTTTCTGATTTCTCCCACATTATGGGCTTTCCTTATGATGAAATTGTCTCTATTGTGCATGATAATGATTCTGAGAGGGGTGATATCTGGAATACATACTTTCCAGACTGTAAAACAAAAGTCAAACGTCGGGATATTAAGAGTGTATTTCAGTCCATTCAGAGGGGTAGAGAACCAGAAGAAAACATCGTTAAGCTTTCCTTGTTATATGTTTTGTCCCATGCTTTTTTGGCTGCCGAAGGTCAGGTTTCAATCCATTCAACATACCTTAACCTTGTAGATGATCTAACTGCTTTTAATTCTTACCCATGGGGCAGAGTCATTTGGGATGACATGGTAGGTTATTTCAAGGCTTCTTTAAAGAGCATTGAATCTAATCCTTCCCATTACAATGTTTACGGTTGTGTCATTGCATTACAAGTGTGGGCTTTTGAGTCATTCCCCGCTCTTAAAGTTATAAATCTAGCTCGTCTAGTAGATCCTTGTTCTGAACCAAGTATACTGAACTGGTCCTCCACTGCAAAGCCATCCAGCGATTCCTTGAAGGATGCAATCTTTTGCAACAAAGGAGTACGTTTTTCATTTATTCTCTTCTTCTTTTTTGTTGTTATTTTCAAAATCTTGTTTAATATATTTACACTTTCCTTCTTTTTTTCAGTTTCTTTTCACTCCCATTTCACAATCTGACAGTGTTCGTGAGCTTGACAACCCTCCAAAACCAGTCCCATTGAAGAAAAAAAGGCGTGTCAAACGTTCTCAGGAATCTGAAGACAGATTTACCCCACCACTACCTGATACTACAACAAGTCCTGATGCCCAAACTCACTTCTCTGATTCTGCTCCTCAAAATAATCAAGCTGCAAGTTCAAGTCAACCAACAAATTATGAAGCTAGGATTGTGGTGCTTGAGGAAGAAGTTCAAACGTTAAAAAATGAGATATTAGGATTTCATGATAAGTTCAAAGATCTACATATTGTCATTGATAATCTCAAAAGTCTTCTTGAAGCTTCAAAGTCCAAAGTATCTGATACTGGAAAAGGGTCTCCACAGCCGTTTACCAGAGCTCCTGTTGACTCTCATCAAGCTCACCCCTCTGCAATTGAACCTCCCCATGACGTAGAGCAACACAATGAACCTCCCAAAGTATCTGAACCTCCCAATGAAGTGTTGGATGTTACTGATGGTGAAATAATTGTGGATGTTGATGACACCGCCAATGTTGGTTGGACGCAGGTAATGATTGAGGCTTTTGAACTCTATGATCCAAAAGTAAGTTCTCTTTGTCACATTTTTTGTCAATTTACTCAGTGACATCTTTGCAGCCGTTTGATTTGTTTAATTTTTGTTCTGTAGCCGCAAGTCTTGCCAACTGTTAATCTGGCATCTTCTTTACCACCTCAACCCCAGTCAGATACTCCCTTAAACATCCAGGTCCTATTCTTGTAACTTACATAGTATTTCACTATTTTACATGCTTAGTCATTTCGTATTTCTAATACGCATGTGATTTGTGGCTTTGTTATTTAATTAATTGTACAAATACTTACACTTATTTACCTCTATTGTACAGGTTTCCCCTTCTAAGACTAGTGCAAATATTTGCTTTGATGATATACAAGAACCAGGCAGACCGAAACGCAAGGTGCGTTCCCCAATACGTTACACTCCAGGTTCTGATGCTCTTCACAAAGCTAAGAAGAAGGAACGTTTTGTCCAAGCTATTTTTCCATTCAGCCGTGATCCGTTTGCTGAGTTCAAATCTGAGTCTGAAAGAATAAATTTCTATAATGAAATTATGGAAGGAGTTATTAGAGGTCACCGATCTTTATGTACAGTGACTAAGTACACACCGGAAATTGATAAAAAATTTCATCTGGATTTGGATTGTGGATTGGAAGTAGAGAGAAAATCTTGGCTCTATCGGCTACATGAACCTGGTCAATGGCTTGATGCCACAGTATGTAACTGTATATCCCTCTGAATGTGTAAATTTATTTGTACTCTATTTCTTCTGTTATACTAACTGTATTTCTATTATTTCAGCATATCCAGAGCATTGATTTTTATCTGCGCCTGAAAGCTGCTACATTTAAGTTTCCCCAAAAAATTTCTACTTCCTGCACTTACTTTCCAAGTCATCTTAATGCCCTTTATGATTCTTACAAGTCCGGTTCAGGTGATGTATCAAAAGCAGCCAACGATCAATATGTGATTGATGTTATTGCAGACGATGAAACTCAATACTTACGCCTGTGGTATGAATGTGACTACATCTACTTTCCATTTAATCTTGTTAATAAACATTGGGTTCTAGTTGTTCTAGATGTTAGTGCAAACACTCTGTTTGTGTACGATACCAACAACAGACGTGCATCCATTCCAAAATCTTTGCGTACTGAAATGCGCGGTCTCATTCACTATCTTCCTCTCATCTTGTCTCACATGCGGTCTTGTGCCCATGGACGTGTATATGGTGCTGTTGGTTCTGCCACTGTTAAAATGGCCCATGACGTCCCACAACAGACCAATGGGTAGTGACAAGGCTCTCTTAATGACAAACTTCACCAGATGCTTTCATCTTCCAGTTTATTATTTGTGGGTGCAATTCATATATATCTGCACACACAATTAAAACTACACATTTTTACCAATGATAAACTCAATTTATTATCACTTTTAAAACTACTGAAGTTCAAATCAATTCTGTCCCAAGAGACACATCACACACAGAGATAATGTGAAGTACACATTGTTCATTAAAATACTAACTACATATAACATTGAACATATCATCATCATCATCTCAATCCTTAGTGACGTGGTATCAGGTTGTTGCACGTCTTTTGATTGTGTCCATTTTGTTTACATCTTCCACACCTTTGCCGTGTAACAAACTCACCAATTGAAGGAATCCTTTTATTCTTCGGTCTTCCAGCTGACCGTTTCTTTGATATTGGTGGGTAAATAATCCAATTTCTTACTTCACTAGGGACATCTGCTTCACAATACTCACCTAGTGGTTCTATGACTCCTGCATAAGCTTCCAACCATGCGCTATTCTTGTAATATGTTGAAATGTGGTCATAGCAAGATAATCCAGTCCTTGACCTAATGGATGCCACTGCATGAGCACACACACAAAGTCCTCCAATTGAAACTCTCTACAAGTACATTCTCTGGACTCAAGGTCAACCACAAATGCCCTACACCTTTGATCTATCATTCATACTTAAAAATAGTGCTTGGTCTTACCTGTAAAAAATACAGGTAACTCACAATCATGCCGGCAGAATCTCTTAGCAAATTTACAAGCACAGCTTCTGCTTTTGGGGATAAAGTTGCTGCATTTTCTGTGGCTTCTTTTCTTCTGTCATGAAACCATGTTTGCAATTTTAGCCTCAGAAACTCAACCAAAATGGATATCGGGTACTCCCTAGCAGTGGCATCCACATTATTGAGGGACTCTGCATTATTGGATGTCACTATTGAGTACCTCCTCCTTGTCATTTTACATCTAGCCCATTTTTCACAACCGATTTCAGCTAGATATTGTCGAATCCTTGGGTCTTCAGAGTCCAGTAACTTCATAAAGTATTCATACTTTCTGCTTGTTGCCGACCTAGCAGCAGCATTGAAAAACTTTATAACATTTTTCTTTTTCCCACCTAACTTTGAAGTTATATTTCCAAGTATGTGTTGCACACAATACCCATGATGAACACCAGGATATACCACTTTCACAACACTAATAAGACCTTCGTTTCTATCTGATACAAAGCACATTTCTTCTCTTTCTCCAATTGATTCTTTAAGTTTAGTAAAGAACCACAACCATGATTCTTTGTTCTCCTTTTCACACACTCCAAATGCTATTGGAAACAAATGTCGGTTTGCATCAAGAGCACATGCAGAAAGATTTGTCCCACGATATTTTGCTTTTAAAAATGATCCATCTACACTAAGTATTGGCCTACAAGCAAGCCACCCTTTTCTACTTGCTCCCAGTGACATAAACAAGTTCTTGAAATTATTCTGAGAATCAGAATTGAGAGATATAATAGATGCTGGGTTTTCTTGGTCGATTATATGACATAACATTGGCAATTTCATGTATGACTCTTTATCAGTTCCCGATATTGATGTCAAAGCCTTTTCCTCAGCTCTCCACGCTTTCTTGTAATTCACATTAACTCCCAATTTCCAATTTAAGTCTGCCATTATGGCTTTTGGTTGATATGGTTTTCGGGAGGCATCTAGGTATTGGTGCTTGATCATTTTTCCAATTATCAATGCACTGGCTTGCCTATTCCCACTCAGCCTACTATCAATTGAGCACCTGTGTACATTATCAAACCTGTAACAAATGAAAATTTATTTAACACATTAGTATTGATTGTTCACCTAAAAACAAAATACTTTTAATATATAGTGACACAAGATTTGATGTAATTGCAACATGTTGTCACTGAAACATACCTTCTCACTTCAAAACAGTCACTTTTATTCATTCTCACCCCACGTACAGCCCATTTGCACTTTTCTTCATAGCAAATAACATGAATAACATCAGGATTTGAGGTTTTGGTCTTGAACTGGAATTTGTTATGAAGTGCATAGAGTTGCAAAGTCTCCTTTAAGCTTTCTTTGTTTGGATATATTCCATTGATCCTTAATGTTTTATCCATAGCTTCCATGTCACCACTTCCTCCCCCACCCAACCATGTCAACAACGGTGTGTCTGTGGTTGAACATTGCTGATAAGTCATTGCATATTCATCCAACACCTCCTCATTATTACATCCACCCACTGTAGGAGCCACATTTGTTGTACTGATTCTTTCTTCTGAATCTGCTACTCTTATGTTAGTGTCACATACCCCTTCCATGTCACTTTTGCTATTTATTTGCACACACAAAGGGTATTTTGATACTTGTGTACAATCAACACCTTTAAGATGCAAATAAAACTGTAAACTACTGTCACTGTCAATCTACGTTGGATCAAAATCTTTATCTATTTGGTATGAGATACAGTTGATAGTGACATCTGGTTGAATATTCAAAGCATCTTGTAAATCCTTAACCAATTCATTATATGATGACTTTGCATTTACCAGAACTCCATGGGTTGATCTTGCTACAAATTTCTTCTTAACGTTCCAGTGGCCATCTAACATTACTGTGGCCATAACTTTCTCCATTTTAAACAAAACAATAGCATCCAATTTTTTCACTTCACCTGAAAAGATAACATCCAAGTTCAATGATAGAACATACTATGAAACTAACTAAGTCCTTAGTTACATTCATGATATCATCACCATTACTCTTACAATGCAGTTACTACATGCCTAGCAGTTACTAAAATCAAAGATAAAGTTCAGTAAGCTCAATACAGTTCGCAGTTACATTACGGTGTCACTACAGAGTTCCAAATCAAAATTCTATCAACTTATTTCAAATACAATTCTGAAGGAACTGCAAGCAAATTTCATTGAATACACTAGGCATTTTGCAGTTACACTTTTATGATTACATGTATTACATCTATACAGTTCTACATGTATTACATTTATTATATCAATCAGATGAATTGAATTTGAAATTCTTAAAACAGTAAACACAACATCAAATTTTGAATACGGTTCATGTACTCGGTTCTACATCAATCACTGCAAACACAACACAGTTTCCAGTTACACGATGCTAAACAAACTTTAATTCAAATGAATTTTTTCGAATCGAAATTCAGAAGGAAAGTTATGAAAAATTCAACGAAAATATGAAATATTATGTTCGCAGTTACAATTGTCAGATCATCTCTATGTTCGCAGAAGTGTTGATGTCCAGTTATCAAATTCGAACTGATTAACGAATAAGTTAGATATCAAAATTACCTATGCGAGTCTGCGATGATCTTCGGTTTCCTTGTTCCATTCGAGTTCGTTCCTGTCTGCGATGATCTTCGGTTTCCTTCTTCCGTTCGAGTTCGTTCCTGTCTGCGATGATCTTCGGTTTCCTTCCGTTCGAGTTCGTTCCTGCGGTTGACAGAATTTCAGGCGCAACCGGTTGTTTCTTAAATTCCGTTTTATTAGTTTTCGTTTTTGACCGGCCACATCATGAAGCTCCGTATTTTTGGAAAGTAATTCCTAAACTATGACCTTGGGCGTCACTTTTTAGGCCCAAATTTTTTATGGTCACTTTTATGGAAATATCCTATGCCCTAGTAATATTAGAGGATTTTTCCCTAAAAATAAAATGGCACTAGAAAAATGTGATGTTTGTGTTCAATCTAAACTAACCAAAAAATCTTGTCACTCCATATATAGGGAATCGGAATTGCTTAGTTTAATTCACACGGATTTAGGTGATTTAACAAATTACATGACTAGAGGTGGTAAAAAATATTATGTCACCTTTATAGATGATTTTTCCAGGTACACTAAAGTTTATTTGCTTAAAAATAAAGACGATGCTTTTGATAAATTTTTAGTGTATAAATTTGAGGTAGAAAATCAATTAAATAAAAAGATTAAGAGAGTTAGATCGGATAGAGGGGGTGAGTATATTTTATTTAATGATTGTTGTGAAAAAGAAGGGATTGTTCATGAGGTTACTCCGCCATATTCACCCCAGTCTAACGGAATAGCTGAAAGAAAAAATAGGACACTAAAGGATATGATGGAAGGTTCATCACTCTTTTAATTAGTTCTGGAAGCTATCCTTGCTCAAAAGAGAAGGTTCATCACTCTTTTAATTAATTCTGGAGGCTATTCTTTATGCATGTCACTTACAAAATAGGATTCCTTATAAGCATAATAAGAAAACCCCTTATGAATTGTAGAAAGGTTTTGCGCCTAATTTGAAATATTTGAAAGTGTAGGGGTGCTTAGCTAAGGTCTTATTGTCTGATCCTAAGAAGAAGAAAATTAGTTCTAAGACTTTTGATTGCATGTTTCTTGGTTATGCTGAATCTAATGTTGCCTATAGATTACTTGTTTTGCAAAGTGATGTGCTTGAATGTGATACAATTGTTGAAACAAAAAATGTTGAATTTTTTGAAAATGTGTTTCCTTTGAAATGTGAACACAAGACCGTTGCACCATATAGTGAGTATGATCCATTACAAGGAAATGAAACCTTTAATGATGAACGCTCTAGTGATAGTGAACCATTAAAAGAAAATGATTCTTTTAGTGATGAACCTTCTCTTTTGAGAAGAAGTATTCTGCCAAGGATAGAAAAATCTTTTGGAAATGATTTTTATACATATCTTGTTAATGATGAGCCTTTAACTTATTCACAATCTATCTCTTCAAAAGAAGCTCCATTTTGGCTTGAAGCCATACAAAACGAAATTGAGTCAATCAAACAAAATAAAACTTGGGTTTTAACCGACTTACCAAAAGGTTGTAAACCAATCGGATGCAAATGGATTTTTAAAAAGAAATTAAATCTGGGTGGTTCAATTGATAAATATAAAGTGAGGCTTGTGGCGAAAGGTTTTTCTCAAAAACAAGATGTTGATTATTTTGATACATTTGCACCAGTAACACGTATTTCTTCCATTCGAACTTTAATTGCCTTGGCTTCCATTCACAAACTTTGTGTCCATCAAATGGATGTTAAAACTGCGTTTTTAAATGGTGAGCTAGAGGAAGAAATTTATATGGTGCAACCGGAGGGTCATGTAGTTATTTGTTAGGAACACAAAGTGTGTAAGTTGGTCAAATCTTTATATGTTTTGAAACAAGCTCCAAAACAATGGATGAAAAATTTGATGAAGTGTTATTTGCTCATGGTTTTACCTCACCAGAAGTGGATAAGTGTGTATACATTAAATGTGAAAATGGTGTGTGCATTATTATTTGTCTATATGTGGATGATATGTTAATTTTTAGTAGCAACCTTGAGCTAATAAATGAGACGAAATCATTTCTTGCTTCAAAATTTGTTATGAAAGACTTGGGGGAAGCAAAAGTGATTTTGGGTATGAAAGTCATAAGGATGATGGTATTATACTGTCTCAAGAGCATTATGCTGAAAAACTTCTAAAGAGGTTTGGACATTTCGATGTCAGCCCCGTGAGCACCCCTTATGACTCTCATATACACTTGAAAAAACATAGAGGTGATCCCGAGGCTCAATATGAGTATTTCCAAATTATTGGAAGTCTATTACACTTGATGAATTATACGAGGCCCGACATAGCTTATGCTGTCAGAAGATTGAGTAGATATACTCATAATCCAAGTGGGGATCATTGGACCGTGTTGAGGCGGTTACTCAGATATTTGAGAGGTACCATTAATTATGGTATATTTTATAGTGGGTTACCCTCTTTACTAGAGGGATACAACGATGCCAACTGGGTCTCTGACTCAGATGAGATAAAATCCAACACTGGATATATATTCACCCTTGGAGGTGGTGCCATTACGTGGAAATCAATCAAACAAACCATAATTTCTAGATCCACTATGGAGTCCGAGCGTATCACTTTGGAAGTGACTAGTAGTGAAGCGGAGTGGTTGAAAAAATTCTTGGCAGAAATTCTGGTTGGTACAAAACCAACACCATCTGTGTCTATTCATTGTGATTGCAAAAGTGCAATAGATACTGCTAAGAAAATGTGTTATAATGGGAAGAATACACACATTCATTTAAGACATAAAGTCATTAAACGGTTATTGAAGAATGAAATTGTGTCCATTAATTTTGTGAGGTCACAAGGAAATTTAGCGGATCCTTTGAAAAAAGCCCTAGGACGAAAATTGATAACCGAAACATCTAGGGAAATGGGACTTGTGTCACTTTGAAACAAATGAGGATGAGAACCCAACTTGTGTGATTGGAGATCCCATGAAGCAAGTTCATATGGGTAATAACTAGGGTTGCACAAGAATAACCCGAACCCGCATAACCCGCCCGACCCAACCCTACCCGACCCTATTTAATCGGGTATTTGATTTTTAAAAATATTCATGGGTTAAATATGATTGAACCCCCACCTAATGGGTAGGGTTGCGGAATTAAAATCTCCAACCCGATAGTACCCGACCCGGCCGAAGTTCATTTTACTATTATTATGCTACAATGTTTTCTTGGATAATTTCAATTTAAGACCAATGTGCTCTATTTATGACTTTATGATACTAAAATTATAATTAAACATTTACCATTTTGACTAGGTGATTATTATATATTTATGTTTCCTTCTAAATGATCTTCCTTTATGGAAGGATGTTTTAATACTATTATCTAATGTTTTTGCTTATAAAAGATATGAGTACTTGTGTTTGTTTGTGTGTTTTGAAAACAAACATACACGGTATATTAATATGCACCTAAAACCCTAAACCCTAAAACCCTAAAACCCTAAACCATAAACCCTAAATCCTAAACCCTAAACAAACAAACAAGATATGAGTATGCACCTGAGTGAAAGACGTATATATTTGTTTCTATTAATAATTTGAACTTGAGTCCTGAAAAAGAATTGTGTATATTTATAATAGGAACCCAACGCAACTCGTACTTCAGCATGTCCATAATGTATTCAAAATTTAAGCCAATCTTCATAACACGGTTGATTTAAAACAAACAAACCAATTTAAAACAAGTTAATCGAGTTTTAAATAGGTTACATTAATCTCCCACATAAAGATGCAACCCGAAGTGATTTTTTTTTCAATACCCGGCCCTACCCGACCCGTTCATGCATGGTTTACCAACTTATTTTGCGTACCGCGGGTTCAATAATAGCCAACCCGAACAAATCGGGTAGGCCCAAAAAATATAGCAAACCCGACCCAACCCGCCCGATGTGCAGCCCTAGTAATAACAAGTCTTCCATTTTGTTCTGCTAGCCTAACTAAAATTGCTCATTTCCATGATGTGAGATATAGACTAGAAACTGCATTCTTTGAGAGGGTGAGTTAAAAGCTCTTAATGATTATCATAGCCCTTAATTTTAGGGTGGTGTGCAAAAGCGGTACACACTTGATGATATCACCTATATGAGTGTGAGGTGGGGCCGCCTCTATGAAGCATGACAAAACTTCTAGAGCACTCATTAACACCAAGCACGTGCATGGCCTTACGGAGCACAACGGCGTAATAACGAGAAAATTGTGCAGGGTGAGATACGACCGTTAAGACCCTGATTTACCATTAGTAGCTTGTTGGTTCATAGAAACTATATGTTTCACCAAAAGCTCGGTTTATTAAGACTTAATCGTCTCGGTTTGGTTCATAGTCTACAGACACCAAACTTAAAGTCTCATTCCTTTAATCCAGCAGAAATTTTCTAAACTATTTTCAAAATTTAAAAAATATTCATTTGAAATATGTGGAGGATTGTTGGAAAAATTGGGAATATTTCAAATGAATATAAATAAATAAATAAAAAATTTGATCCTAAGCTTTGCACATTACAAAAGTGTTGGACTTGGTATTAATATTATTAAAGAATAATTACTTCTAACGGTTCTATAGTTAGTGGGAGTTTTGAAAGAATTTTCAACTTAACTCCAACATTGATCCTATTTATTAAATACATTGTATGAACGTTAGTACTCTAACGTAAGTTTCACCTGATCGAGCATGCAGCCAGTTTTTCCACTATATATTTATTTGTTTACTTTGGTAGATGCTAAGTTGAAGAAACATATGTGTTTACATGTGTGAGTAGAATAATTTTTGAGCTACAAGATCCCCATTATTTTTACTCTGCTGGATTAATAATTTTCTATTCTCGATGTTCTGTTACCGGTCTACGCTGAAGAGCTCGTTTTATCTTGGGGAAACGTTTTCACTAGTCGAAAATACTTTCTCGAGGACAACGTTTACACGACTCAAGCTATATTATTTTCTAAACGCCCTTTTTGCAGGTCTATCCGGGCAATTTCACCAACAGAAACAAAATGATTTGCTCTCAATGATAAGTTCAAAACCATTCGATGCCCCTGTAAATGGAATACATTGATACCTATTTCCCCATTGCTTGTCAACCTTCTTGGATGGTCTCTGCCTAATGCTGGATTGTTGAACATATGGGATTCGATTATTTGTTGGCTGCTGTACTGTTGTACCAGAAGAGTGAAAACCTTTGACCGGTTGTTCACTGGCATTCCGTCGAACTCGTTTGGACCAAAATAGGGACCAATTTTTTCTATTGTAGCCTCTGAATCGCAGGTGTTGATTGTCGATTTCACTGGCGCAGCGTTTAGATCGCTGCTGTTGAGTGTCGCTGATGTTGAGCACTCGCTTGGTCGCAGTACCCTAGGAGTCTTGCTTTCCTCTCTGTTCAGCAGATCTGAAATAGGCCCCTCCCGTGGCAGGTGAGCAGGGAATCCCGCTGAGATGACATTGTTTTGGTTGAACTCTGTCTTCAGTTTTGAGTTCCCATGGCTTTCTGAGAGGTGAAAAACTAAAGACCCAAAGAAGATGGAGGATGGCCGCTCCTGATCTCCGATTGTGGTGACTGCCAAAGCAGCGGCGCTCACGCTTTCCCCTAGAGCACCCCTCCGGGCTCCCCCCTTCATTTCCCGTCCTCAATCTTATTAAAATGAGAGTTTTTGACACTTTTGGTCCCGGAGTATTTTGTCAGTGACACTTTTGGTACATGACTTTTAATTTTTCCATTTTTTGTCCTCGACTATTGTTCCTGAGACACTTTTAGTCCTCTAATTTCAAGTTTCCCACATTTAGTCCTTTGAGTATTATCAAATTGACACTTTTAGTCCTTCTACTATGATTTTGACACAATAAGTGGAGGACTAAAAATGTCTCTATAGCAATAGTTGAAGGACCAAAAGTGTCACTTCTACAAAAGACGAAGGACTAAATATGAAAATTTTCAAAGACGGATACCAAAAGTGTCTCTCGCACAATAGTCGATGACTAAAAGTGGAAAAATTAAAAGTCGAGTACCAAAAGTGTCACTGACACAATATTCGAGAGACTAGAAGTGGCAAAAACTCTTAAAATGATGCCTTTATTTCAAACTGTCAAGTGACGCATTCCTCTTCTTATTATCATCGTCATAGCTCATTTTATAAGTTACGTATGCTCATTTTAAAATATCATATCAATGCTTATTTTGAAAGTAGCATATTACATTAGATTCACTTATTGAAATTCTTAAGAGCTGATTATAAATATAATTTAAGATTTTTTTATAAAAGAAAAAATAAGATAAAGAAAGAGACTTAGAATATATAAAGCAGAGATCATGATACTCATTGTTAAGCTCCTAAAACTCAACAAAATAGGTCTGATGCTCATTAAAATTGCATTAATGCTCATTTAAGAGAAACAACGATTCTCACCAAATTTACAAAATTGTCACCAGTTGTACGGTGCAAGCCGTACAACTGGCTATAAGATATACGCACTCGTAATGAACTAGCTATCTATTGATATTTTTGTAATGTTTTGTCGATGTCAATTAAGGTGTGCTAACTTTTACTAACTTCCACAAATGTAAGTGTAAATAATATCACCCCTTGAAAATCCGGTTCTAGATCTTTATTTGATTAACAATATTAAAAAAGACCTATAGTCAATGGTGGATCTACGCGTAGGTGGTCAGTGTATGAATGTTGATGGAGTTATGGGACTAGGCCAAAAGCCTAATCAGCCCAAGCTCCGAACTTGGACCCGTGGATCCGAGTCCACAACCTGGAGCCTATCTACCGGCCCAGCAGGGAGTCTGCCAGTCCGGCCGACCTCCCAGCCCGGAAGAGTAACAGTCAAACCATTAATGTGTTGTTTAATTATATATTTTATTCCGTATTAATGTTGTAATTATATAGTCATTATTATGGGTAGCGGTTACGATTTGTATACGCCTATAAAAGGTGGGTTGTAATTCAAATTAGTGGAGCAATTTTGAGATGCTATTTCCGGCAACTAAACATCCCTTAGCTACTTTCCATTTCCGTACTACTTTCCTAATTTCTGCTTGAGTGTCTAACGTAACTTTCCTAAAAGCCTACAAGCGTCCTATTTTGGACCAACATTGGTGCTTTCATTGAGAGCATAATCAAGTGAGAAATCCTCCCAAAAACATCCAAAAATTTCATCCCGTTTACAAGAAATCTGGAAAAACAGGCCTGAAATTCTAAAAACTGAGAAAGAAGAAATAAACAAATCAGGAAATTTTCTGGAGCTTTTCGGTCAGATATGTACTTCCTGATCAGCGGAATTGGTCAACCAGAGCAGTCAGGCCTTCGCAGGTCACCGCTTGCTCTCTCATCCTGCTCGTCGCAGCTCGTTCCGCCATTAGTGGTCCCCTGAAGCTCGTGAGGAAGCAACCGGCGACATTGCCATCGAGGTTCCCTGTCAACCCACGGAAGTCCCTGCCAAACCTGAAACTCGAAGCTGGGACACTCAGCGCAAACGGCGGAGCATGAATGAAATTGAATATGAAAAAAGAAGGAATCAGATCTGGAAAGGATGGATGAAAGCCTAATATTTGCCTTTATATATGCCTTTAAGGGAATCGATTAGGTAAGCTTTCCACACTCCTCTCTGTTTATTCCTTGCACTTAATATTTCTGTGAGAGAGACTGCCTAGAGAAGTTGTATGCTACATTTCCATATCTTTGTGTAAACTTCTTCTATCAATGAAAGTAATTCCTATTCACATTTGAGAGCTCATTTCCATACATTTCTTAATAGAAAACAGGGACCTAACAGAGGTTTTATTTGTTAGTGGTAGGTCTAAGAGTAGGTTTTGACACCTGAAGTATAATAACCGTATAATAACCAGGCTAATACCAATAGTCAACCAAGTACGAAGAGGAATAAGTCCAGAAAGCGTGTTTGCTACCATTGCGACAATCCTGGCCATTTTAGTAAAGACTGTCCCAACCCTAAGAAATCTGAACAAGCCAATGTTGTTGTTGATCATGGCAATCATGGTGATGTTTTTATGGTATGTGATCATGTGAACTCTGTGTTTAATGATTTGACTGAGCATGAATGGTTGATTGATTCTGGTTGTTCCTATCACATGACACCATTCAAACGTCTGTTTTCAACTTATGAAGCATATGACTCAGGTTTCGTTTCCTTGGCTGATAGTAAAAAATGTGAGGTGCATGGTGATGGTGATATATGCTTGAAATTTGATTATGGAACTGTTTGTACTATTCAAAATGTGAGACATGTTACTGAATGGTGCCATACTTTGAAGTTTGTTTCTGCTCTTGAGGGTTGTGGGTTAAAAGGAAAGTGGAAAAAAGGTAGTGTTGGTCCCGATTATACTGGGTACGGTCTAGAGGGGGTGAATAGACTGTACTGGTTTTTAACTTTTTCAAGCTAAGTACCAGATTTAACAGAATATCATGTTCTGTTGACAGAACAGACTGGCAGCGGATGGTGTTCTGGTAGGGGTTCTGTCCGGTTAGCTTCAGAGAGGTGCAAAGGCAGTAGGTCTTCTGTTAACTCACAAGACACGTTCTGCTGAACACAGAGACCTAATCTTTGTAGTTAATCAGTTAAAAGTAAATGCATGAATTAAATGCAGTAAGTAAATGACACCAGAGATTTTTATAGTGGTTCAAGAAACAACTCGTTCCTCTAATCCACTGTTCCACTAAACTTGTAAAAACGCAGATTACAAAGCCTTAGCCCTAGCACTTAAGAAGCTCTCCACATCTTCTTCAAGTCTAGATGTCTCCTGTGATGCTCTTCCTGGCTTCCTTTAAGACTGGTCCTTTCACCGAGCTTCCTTGAAGTATACCCTTTTCACTACTCCAGTTACTTAGACGTCCTTCTCATTAGAGAAGAGTTTCTGTAAGAACAGGGGTTTTCCAACTTGCTTCGTCACAAAGGATGTGTAGATGAAGTGCTTGAAGTGTTGAAGACAAGGAACTTTGCTCTTTGTTGGAATATGAAGATAGGAAAATTGTAACACCCCCAAATTTCCCACCCAAAAATACCTTTAAATAAAACATTATTTATTAACTTTCTTAGAAAACATCAGAATTGTGCAGCGGAAAAACAAAGGGAAATAGGGGCGTTACCGCCACACTCGGTTCTAACCTAACCGAGTGCACAGGCTAACCACCACTCAAATACTTTAACTTAAAAAAACATTATTAATTATCTAGAGTTCTTGAAATCAAAATATACAATGATTTACTAATTATGTTTTCTAGCGGAAGCTCTCTCGAAATCGACTTCAACAGGATCAACTCAACACCTGTACAAAATCAAGTGCAGAAAGAAAAACACAAAGAAACAAAATTAGCCAGAAATGATAGTAAGTCTCACACCACCCCGTAAAATAATCACGTTTGATACATTTTTTAAAACATTTTGGAGGAAACCTTTTTCAAAACATTTTATATAAATCATAAGTAAAACAATATATACAAAATACTTCGTATTCTCATAACACAATTCATATCTAAAATATTAATATTTCAAATATAAGTACTTATTTCAAACCATAAAATTACAAAATACCAATGTACATAAACCACCAAATATTCCCACAATTATTCCAAAGTATAAATCAATCACCAATATTCATCTTAAAATACTTATAACTACTTGTGAACAATATTCAACATAATCAACCCAAATCAAACCCAAAAGTATTTGTACTTCAGGAATCCATAAATAAATTTATTATTCAAATAACAATTATAACTCAAAATAAACTTGTATAATTCAAAATCACATTTTTAATTAAAATAATAATTCAAAAACTATAAATACCTCATTTCTCAAAATAGGAGCTAAATACATCATTGCTCAAAATACATTTATGAACTAAAAGTAATTCACATAGTAGAGTGAAAATACAATTTCCTTAAATAATTAGTGTTCAAAATAACTTTAAATTCCTTTCAACCAAATAGTATTTCTCCAAACAAGTGCTTTAACAACTCTTACGAGTAAAGTACTAAAATATTTTCTCCCACTTTTTATACTAAAGTCCCTAAATAATTTCGAAGGGCGGTGCTCAATATTTTTAATTGAGCCCGATGGTCCGTTGTTATGTACGGTCACCTCTGGACTTTTGCCGGTACCACTTCTAACCTGAGGAAACTGAACATCTACCTTAAGTGTGCACACCCCCTGAAAGGGATTCCAAGCCCTACGAGTAGTAAGAAGTCTAAGTAGTTCGGACGTCAACGTCCCCCTACTCCACCAAAAAGGGATTACCCTATATAAGTGACTAGGTTACTGCTACTACTGAATAACATGGTCTTTTAACACTCTCCACAGTCAAGGTCGTGGACACCAACATAGTAATTTTCCACAGTCAAGGTCGTGGACACCGACATTACAACTCTTTATGAGTAGACAAGTAATAGCAGCCCTAATCACTCTCCACAGTCAAGGTCGTGGAGGACACCGACACCCCGGATTTCTCCCGTGATGCCCTTACATTAAAAGGTTCATTTTATCTTTATTGATCTCCAAAAATTGCAAGGGTTTACTACTCACGTAACTTCCCCAAATTTAATTTATTCAACAGTAAAATCATCACATAGACATATCCTAAAAAAATGTAACTC